GAGGAAGAGGAAGACGACGAATGCGAGCCCGAAGCTTTGCCGAGTTTTGCCGAAGCACACGCTGCATTGGCGAAAGTGAAGTCGTTCTTTTATGCGCTTAATATTAGTGAACGTGACGAGGAAAACATTTTGAACATGGAAAGTGCTCTGTTTGGTCTAAAACGTAAAGTTTCAACAAACCAGTTGTCCATTAAATACTTTTTTGGTAAAAAGAAGTAACTTTGAAAGAGAAACATTGTTTTTTTTAAAATTTTTAATGCTTTCCAGCATCTATCGTTTTCCCGCATTCATCGTTTTTATTTCCCACCCCCGCCGAAAACGATGCATCGAGGTTTCACTGTATTTTGGTGTTACAAATTTTGTGTTTAATGGCATTATTATTAATAGTGGGATATTAAAAAATACAAAAATGCATTAGTCATTTACCCTTTTAGTCACAATATTGGATATGGTAATGAACCTTCAAGTTCCATAAAAGGAAGGGCATTTCTTGACTAGCTGAGCATACTGTTAGTTTCTCCAGCAGGGCTCTTCTTCTTGTAGAGAGTGAGTTTGTTAGTTATCTGAAATTATGTTACAGCTGAAGCTCACCCAATTAATTTTTACAAATTCAGCTCTTACATCATAGAAAATACAACACATTTCCATTACATATGTCAGTTAATGCTGTTTAGGGAAATAATTGCTGTTTATTATAAGAATCATATGTAACCCATAAATACATTGTGTGGGCAATACTGTGCTTCAGAGGGTTTAGAATTGTGTGTGTGTGTGTGTGTGAGTTTCTTTGTGTGTGCATGCACTTGAGAGAGAGAGAGTTAGGTTGCTGTCTCTAACATAGCAGTTTGAAGTGTAAGTTTAATGTGGATGTATGTTGTGAACAGGTGCAATAGTTCAATCAGAACAGATGAACAATGTAGACTACATGCCAGACTACGGATTGTTCGAAGCAAGTCGCATTGCTTGTCCTGTTTTACCCCAGTACCACCCTAAGCAGCTCATGGAACTCCTTAATTCAGGCAAGATACGCTGGGTCAAGGCTATCTTAGCCCATCTAGTCAGGTCAGTGAAAGAAGAATTTATAAAGCGTATATGTTTTCAAATATATAACTTAGTGAAATATCCACATATTATGATTTCCACTTAGAAAACTAAGAAACAGAATTATGATTTCTATCCCCTCTGGTGTTCCACTACAGTAAAAGACTAATTTTAAAACAAGACCAATGAGTTATGGCCCATGCTTTGTGGCTGAAATTGGTATATGCAAATTCTGCTTCCTGCTGGAAATGCCCAATTGCAGTCATTTTTTACAAAACTTAACTAACACAATTTTTGGCTGTCATGGTAGGTAGACCAACAGCAGGGAGCAGTGCTGCGTGTAGTGAGGGCATAGTACTGCTCCAGCCATGTAGGTCATAACTTATTGGTGCGACTCTTTAACACATTGTGGACTGCCTTCTTTCTCTGCACCATGCAAATTGCTAGTCGTTACAATCTTGTGTTTTGGCACACAACAGATTTCTGTAATGTTTTAAATCATCGTGTTAAATGAAGAACGTGGATCAGGGTGCTAAGGAAAATATTTACAGTTTAGAAAGAGGAAGTAACAGGAGGTTAGAGAAAATTGAATATTGTGAAACTTTATAATTTGTCATCTTCAACAAATATAAGAGTGAACAACTATAGGAGGATGAGGTTGGTGGGATGTATAGCATACATGAAAAGATGAGATGCATACAGATTATTGGTCTGAAAACCTAGAGGGAAGAGATAACTTACAAGACATAGGCATCGATAGGATTCTTGAATACAGTGGGAGGGTGTGAACTGAATTCATCTGGTACAGGATATGGACCAGTGACAGGTTCTTGTGAATACAGTCGGATTTAATTATAATCTGCGAGTTACTTGACTAGATGAGGTATTATTAGTTTCTTGAAAATGACTTCACTGCATTGAGTTAGTCAATAATAGTTGGGCTTGAAGAAAAATTTTCTATCTATTTTGAGTATAAGAGCAAAAATATTGATACAAATTTGAAAGTATGTAAGTAAATTATATTACTGTTACACAAAACAATGTTAGCAAACTTATTGACACAGTTCATTGTTAATTAAGGGCTACATATTTTGTGACCAATGGTCTATCTTCAGGCTCTGTGCAATAGAGGAGTGTTTGTGCAACATATAAAGGCATTGAAAATGTTACTGTTTTTATTTTGTGTGTGAGCAGTACGATGTTGAGTCTTATACAGTAAAACACTATAAATTAGAAATTAAACATTAAAGATAGTATAGGTAGGGTCCAGTGTTGTATGTATATAATTATTTTTCTTCAGATGTTTAGATAAAAATATTTTACTA